AAAAGGCTTGGGTTTGTGTAGTGAGGAATTAGTGATTTGTAGGCTATGAAAAGGGTGATGAAATCCCTCACCTTAACTCGACTAGGGTGTTTTGCCCTTAAGAATATTTTTAAGTGTGTATCAAATCAAGATGCTCAAATCACTTTGGTGAATTCCTACTATTATATGCAATGCGACCCTAAGAATTAAAAGCAACTAGAAAAAGATGGTAAAAATAAAATCTTTTTGTTTTTTAATTAAGGTTAACAATCAAACAAATGCGAGAGAGGGAGATATTATTTGAATTTATTATCTTGTTAGTAAATGTCCAAGTGGAGGGTGAATTTTATTATGGTTGACAAAAATAAACTCTTTTTTAGATCCTAATTGTCTCTAATTGTAAGAAATTAACTAATGGGGTGGAATTGAAAATACTAGAAAGAAAAGTTACCAAAAGTAAGTCTTCAAATCCCAGATCTCTAGTCCTTGATCTTCAATCTCAAGTGGTTACTTCACAAGAAAACTGTTACGCCCCTGTTTTCACACATGGCTGTAGTCCAAGATGAACCCAGAGATGTCAAACCTGCCATACACCCACACTGTGCAACAACAAGTTTTACCAATCACAACAATATCCTCTAGTGGAATCAAAATAAAATACAAATACAAAACATGTAAAATAAAGGAAATAACAACAATAGACATGATATAGAAAGAAATATCTCATAAATAAATCATGTCTTAATGAACAACCTGGAATATATCTAATATCCAAAATGAATAAATATGTATCGACAAGAAACAACTAAAAATCGTACTAAGGCACACTACTTTACACTATGAAATAAACTCTATGGTCTGAAAAAAAATATAGAACTACGATGGAGCCACTAATAAATCTCATGTGACGACGACTATCCAAGAACTCCGTCATCCCGTGACTCTCCAGTACTCCAATTTACGTGAAAGAATATTAGAAGAAAAAGAGTAACAGCAAGAGCGTCAGAGCGCTATAGCAAAATCACCTCCATCTGACCCCAGAGAAAGGGCTGCTAGATAGAGTGGAGATTCTATCTATTAAGCATAGTCTACCTAGATTATTTTCTCCCTTATCTAATTGAATTAATATTTAAACGCCTACAATATGAGACGTAGTACGTCGAGCGAAATAATCCAAACAAGAAAATCTTATATATATACCATATGTCCCGAATTGTAAACATCTAAACATTAATACCGAACTAAAGATAAACAATCTAAATAAAATCAATAATTAAAAATCCATAACACGAGACTGGTACGTCGAGCGAAATAATCCAAACAAGAAAATCCTAATGTATATACCATATTTCTCAAATTGTGAATCACTAATTATTGATCCAAACTAAGAAAATAAATAAAAAAAGTAAAAGAAAGTAAAGACATCAACATATCATATTCATAATATCTTCCACTGTCACTGGGAAGATAGAATGAATACCGACACAAATCTCGTGTACTTTCAAATACAAAGTACTCTGGGTCATATATTTCAGCAGTGAGTCAAAAATATAACTAGCATCCGCTAACGACTCGGGCTATCATTTAACCATCTCAATGCAACTCCATATAAGATTTTAATACTTAGCATTATTATGTGCAATGGACTACCCTGTAGGTATCCTAATCAGTGTACATGTCTCATTAGTCTCAGCGCGATCTTAGTGCGTAACATCAGTACGGAACGACCTACCATATAGGTATCCTAGAAGTACGGCTCATAAGCCTCATCGCACCCTCGTGCGGACGGACTGCTAGATAAAGCATCCAAACCTGACTCAATGGCTTGTACAAATGGAATATCGACGCACTACCCCCGTAGTACTAAACTGAGCTCATCAACGTTATCCAGAAAGTGCATAGTACTAAACTTTTTCTCAAAGTAATCGGGTCAAAACCCATCATAATTCCTTTCAACATACCCATATGTGTTCTACTACACTATTCGTGAATTTACGTATAAAGAAGTACGGCTCAAAATCAGCTAACATATCTCAAACAGATGCAAAACAAAAATTTAGACAACAGCCTTAAGAGTCGACTATTAAGCTTAGTAGTCGACTACACTGAGTCCATCCAGACTTTGTAATAACATATATCAGTATCAGTAGTTGACTATTAAGAACATTAGTCGACTACTCTACAAACACACAGTTTCTGTTATACTCAACTGGGCTCGAGTAGCCGACTACTAAGTTTCGTAGTCGACTACTCTGTCAAGACACACATTCTTTCATATACAAATAGTACTTATGTTAATTGTACATATCATGATGCTAAAATGAGATTTTATACTTGGCATATGCAATATGAATTATCTGAATCATCAAGTTAAATTATTATATCTTTCAATTTAGGGTTTAACATCCTAATTAAACAATATTTTCAATTATCTCATATGTAAACAAAGTGATTATCAATACATGATAAAAACTACTCATGAACAAAGGTAAAATTCATTAAAACATGTTTATCTTACTTAGGTATCACAAACCTAGAGTTTAAGTATGATTAATTAACATGAAAACTCAAAGAAACCTTCACGTAATATATCAATTATTTTAAATCAGCATATCTGCAGTTTTCTGCAGAATATATCATTCGTAAATTGAGAATATCATTCTCTAGACAAACTCTTTTTAATAATAGTTTTCTATTTTGGAAACTAGATCTACATAACTATCATTTGGCACTGGTTTGGTTCAGTTTGGAGTTTATATGATATCTTAAATTTCTAGTTAAGAGTTACACACGTGCAGTAGTTTTCTGCAGAACATGTCATTAGTAAATTGAGTATATCATTCTCTATAAAATCTCTTTCTTAGAATACTATTCCGTTTTGGAAAATAGGTTCATATAGCTTTCATTTGACACTCGTTTTGTTCAGTTTGGAATTTATATGATATCTCAAATTTCTAGTTAAATGTTATATACATGCAATAATTTTCTGCAATCTATGATAAAAATAAAAATTAAACCTCTTTATAATTTAATTAGATAACAAATTAGGATTAACACACGAGTTAAACATAATTATCAAGTTAAAAAAAATTTATCACCCCTAATGATCATGATCACATTACTATCATAAATAATTAGGAAAAGCAAATGATCTAACATTGGGTTAAGATTTATCATAAAAAATCTCATCTTTATCATATTAGGTTAAGCCATAAGTATGAAAACATTGATTAAACACTTTTATAATCATTAAACACTATAGGTATGAGTTTGGATGCAGATGATCTTGCCTTATAACGTGTCTAATCCTCTGAAACTGATGTGAAACGACTCCTCGTCGCCAAACATCGTAGATCTCGCCTTTTCCTCGCTTCTCGCCTCACAAGACACTCCCAAAATCTCAACTTTAGGGTTAAAGTTTTAGAGAGAGGAAGAAGGGCTGATAGGTTTTGAAACTCTGATGAAAAGATGATAATTTTTGTAAAAATACATGTATATATATATATATATATATGCAAACCCGAAATAAACCCGTTCGACCCGAACTAGGAAACCTAGTTTGACTAGGAAAATAACCTTTGGTATTTTGACTATAACTTTTTCATCCTAGCTCAGAATAAGGTGATTTAAGATTTGTTGGAAAGTTATTGAAGATACCTATAACTTTGATTTTTTGAGTTTTTTCAGATTCAAATTATATCGCTGTGTAAAATATATAAACTCTTAACTGGTTATTTTTCTAGATTTCTCTTCGTGCATGTTTTGTGCATTTGCACTCATATATTCACAATTATACATTGAATTGATCTCAAATTAATTCCTATCATACTCAAACATCAAAATATGTTATATTTTCACCATATAACATATTTATTATTATTTTTCACATAATATTCAAATTTTTGGGGTTTTACATTCTTCTTCCTTAAAAAGAATTTCATCCCCGAAATTCCACAATCGTATCCTAGAGATTAATAATATCAGAAAAGCACATGGAGGGGATAATCCAGATAAGAAAACCCTTATATACACGTCTCGCACCATTAATCTCCAGATATGAAATATAAAAATATTTACACTTAACAATCTAGAATGCTAATATTCCCACTCAACCCCTAACTAGACGAAACTAGTACGTCGGGCAAAAAATCCAAACAAAGAACCCCTCATATATATACCATGTGTTCCGAATGATTAGAAGTTAAGTGTCAATACCTCCATTCTAGCATTAAGTATGAATATAATCATATAAAAAATCCATAAATATCAATCAAAATCAATCAACCCAGCTGCTCAAACAAGTGCGGGTAGTCGTGATGCATAACATATTCGCGCCCTCGAAAATCATCATCCATATCTATACTTAATGGTCTAAAATAGAAATACTCCCAGTTAACCCCTAACCAAACGGAACAAGTACGTCGGGCAAAAAATCAAAACAAGGAACCCCCATATATATACCGTATGTTCCGAATACTTAGGAGCTAAGTGCTAGTATTATCATTCTAGCGTTAAGTATAAACATGACCATACGGATAACCATAAATCATAAACAAATCATACTGAATTTTTAATTTACCTGTTCAAACTTATGTGGGTAGTCGCGACGCATATCCTCCTCGTACTCCCATGAAGTCTCCTCTGTTCCTCTCCGGTTCCAATGAACTTAACTAAGGGTATCACCTAATTTCTAAGCTTCGTGTCCTCCTTGGCAAGAATGCATATCAAAATCTCAATCATAGTCAAATCATCGTGGATCTCAACCTCCGGTGCATCCAATACTCACTTATCCTCCTCATTGTGTAGATGCTTCTTAAGCATAGAAATATGGAAAACATCATGTATGCTCGACATTGAGAACAGACTAATGTACCTCAGGGCAAGCTTGCCTCATCTACCAAAACATTGTACACCCTTCATTGGTGATATTTTTAACAAAATATAATCCCCAACCTGGAATTCTATTGGTTGTCGCCTCCGGTCTGCATAACTTTTCTGACGACTTTGCACTGTAAGAATACGCTCTCGAATGACTGCAACCTTCTTCGTAGTTTGTCTAACAAGCTCCGGTCCAAGCAATAGAGTGTTTTCTGGTTCTACCTAAAAAATAGGTGATCAGTAAGGCAACCGATACAATGCTTCATACGGTGCCATGTCAATAGTCCCTTGATAGCTATTATTATAGGTAAACTCAATCAATGGGATGTGGTCCTCCCAACTACCCTGAAAATCTATAACGCACACCCTCAACATGTCCTCCAATATCTAGTTCACTCTCTCCGTCTGTCCATCCGTCTGCGGGTGAAATACACTAGAGTAAGATAACTGGCTACCGAAAGAGTTCTGAAAGCTTCTCTAGAAATGTACTGACTTCGTCAATCGATCCACTATTATCCAAACTGAATCGTTCCCCTTTTTTGATCTTGGCAATCTTACAATAATGTTCATAGAAATATCTGTCCATTTCCTCTCCGGAATAGGTAAAGGCTGTAGGGTTCCTGCTGGCCTCTGATGTTCTGCCTTCACTTGCTGGTAGGTGAAACACTTACCACATACTTCGCAATCTCACCACGTATGCCGCTCCATCAAAAGTATCTCTCCAGGTCCTTGTACATTTTTATTGTGCTTGGATGCACTATGTACCTAGTACGATATGCCTCATTGAATAAGTTCCTTCTTCAGTTGTGGATTTCTCAGCATCACTAGTTGGCCTTTTATTCAAAGTCCTCCATCTGCTCCAATGATCCAATCAGTCTTGGGGTCTTTAGAAATCTCCCCCTTTCGGGTTTAAATCCAAGTGTCTTCTAGCTGAGCTCTAACCACTCTATCACTCCAAGATGGTTGCACGGACAAAGAGCCAAAAAATGCGTTGTTCCCGCCTATCTCTGGTCTAAAGTTGAACTGGTTAAGTGTGTGGAGATCTTGATACAACGAACACCTCAAAGCTAAAATCCGATGATGACGCTTCATGCTCAAATCGTCTGTTATGACGTTCGCCTTCTCAAGATAGTACTGAATCGTGTGTTAGTGGTTATGCCCTAGGCCAAATATTTGGACGTTGATGTAATGATTATATTTTCATTTAAAGAATGGTTTTCTCCACATTAGGATTATTGGCATGTTACATTATTATAATGTTTATGAATAACTATGTTATTCATGTTATCCCTAGTTATTTAATTATTGGCATGTTACATTATTATAATGTTTATGAATAACTATGTTATTCATGTTATCCCTAGTTATTTATCACTAAAGGGCATAAAGATAAATTAAGACTAGTATGGGTTTTGATTGATAAACATGAGATGATTATATATGGTGATATAAATCAAACATGTAGGCACTTGTTAGAGAACAAGGCACTGGATAGACCCACTATGAGATTACTACATGGGTTAGTATCATAAATGATCTCATAATAGTTATGTTATCGAATCCTTACACCTGAGATTATCACAGATTCCTACATGAGGAACATAATGTCTTGCTATAGGTCACTTATGACTTCTGGGTTTATAATGGGATTAGGCCCACTGCCAACATAATATGAACCTATTGGGTCGCACACAAAGAACGTGATGAACGTGCTAGAATTTCTTTGGGAAATTTCGAATTTTAAATGTAAAATTCAAAATAGAAATCTGTAATTTTTGAGATATATTAGAGATAAAATATTATTTCTTATTATCTGAATAAGAAACAAAATTCTGTTATTTTGAACAAGATATCCCCAAAATATCTCTCTACACGTTAGGGTTAACGTGCTATAAATAGACTTTCATGATGCCCTGATTTGATCATCTCTCATAAAAAAGAAAAACCCTAGCCTACGTAGAAAGGAGCTAGCACCCCTACATCCGTTTGTGATCGTTCGTGTGTGGATACTGATAGAGGGCGTTCGTTCCTTGAGTAGCACCTAGAGTCCGATCGAATTAAGGTGTTATGTAAAAGGGGCTACGAAGTTGATTGATGTTAATATGATGAACATGTCTCGAAATTAATTTTGCTAATATGATTAATATGATTAATGTCATTTGGTTTAATATGATTAATGTGATAACATGTTTTATGATAATTCTATTATGTTAATGTGATTAACATATTAATATGATTGATATGATTAACGAATTATCTTAAATGATATTCTATATTTATTAAATGATTGTTTAATATGATTAAACGATCGCTGATATGATCAATAGAATCGTTATTCAAAGATATTGAATAGGATATTAGGGCAGAAAATTGTTAATGAGATTAACAATACCTCAAAGCTTCGAGGGGCGCTCCCCCTCGACCCCGCCTAGGGGCGCTACCCCTTAACCTTGCCCACTAACCAGCTAGCGGGACCGTCGTACTTTCTGTTCATAGCGCCTTATATGTAATTAAATTTATTATTGGGTAATTTTATACATCAATTTTAATTAAAATATATTATGCATGATATGAGATAATATGTTTTATTTTGATGCATATATGATGTCTTTGAATGGTGCATAGCATGACCAATTGAACCTCATGTGGATGAGATTTATTTTATCTATTTTATGGGTTTGTAATTTTAAATACAACCTGCGTGTCGATAAATTAGTAATAAAATCCCTCACCATAATTTTAAGTCATATGTCACCCATGATTAAAACACTTGTCAAGACTAAGATCACCAAAATGTGGGCTCTGCTAAAGCGAGGTACATTAGGTTATCATAGTAAGGCAGGATGTGTAATGGTACTACCCATATGTTTAAAATGGTTAGACTTAATTAGCCTATCAAAACGGTTTTGGGCCTAAGGGCATAAGATGGGGTTAAAACATGTCGGGACATATGATGTCAAAAACCCATAAATGATCTAAGAGTTATATGAGATGTAATTGGTAAAGGACTTACCTACCTATATAACTTAACTTTAAGTGTCATGCCAAAGCTAACTTAGAGTTAGGTGAAATTTGGATCTTAGCCCACTAAATTATTATAATTGAGGGTTATTTTAGTAGGAGTTTTATGAGAAAACCTAAAATGAAATTGGTTCTAATAAAATTATATTGCATATTTATAGATCAATGGCAACAAACAATACTAACACACTATCACTGTGATCTGTCCTTGAGAAGGATAAGCTAAAAGAAAATGGTACAAATTTTCTCAACTGGTTCAGGAACTTGTGAATTGTTCACAAGCGAGAAAGGAAGCTATATGTGCTGGATGAGCCTATTCCTGATGACCCGCCTGCTGATGCCACAAGGGCACTCAAAGAGAAACATAAGAAACATGTTGATGATTCTATGGATGTTGGGTGTCTCATGCTAGCTACCATGTGCCCAGAACTTCAGAAGGATCTAGAGCATATGGAGGCTTATGAGTTGAGTGTTCATCTCAAAGAGACCTTCCAACATCAGGCAAGGCAAGAAAGGTATGATACTACCAAAGCATTACATTCTTGCAATATGGATGAAGGTGCCTCAGTTAGCTCTCATGTTCTAAAAATGAAGGGCTATATTGATCACATCGAGAGGCTTGGATTTCCCCTTAGTTTAGAACTGGCAACAAATTTGATCCTTAATTCATTACCTAATAGTTATGACCAGTTCGTCATGAACTATAATATGAATGATATGGTGAAATCTATTGCTAAGCTGCATGCGATGCTTAAAATAGCTGAGCAAAGCATCAAGAAAAGGCCTGGCCATATACTAATGGTCAACAAAGGGAAAGGGATGAAAAATAAGGGTCAGGGTAAGGCTAAGGTAAGAGTTGCTGGTAAGCCTAAGTCTAAGCCCAAGCCCAAGGCTAAAGTTACAAAGGAAGGTGTTTGCTTTCGTTGCAATGAACCTAGTCAATGGAAGAGGAACTGCAAGCTCTACTTGGAAGAATTGAAGAAGAAGAAGAGTGGTGAGACTACATCTTCAGGTATTTATGATATAGAAATTAATTTATCTACTTCTACTTCCTGGGTATTAGATACTGGATGTGGATCTCACATTTGTACAAATGTGTAGGAATTCAAAAGGAGTAGATGACTGAGAAAGGGTGAATTCGACCTGCGAGTGGGGAATGGATCAAGAGTTGCTGCCTTAGCTGTAGGAACTTATGAATTGGTTTTGCTCAGTGGGCTTTTGTTAGTTTTTAACAATTGCTATTATGTTCCTACTTTGAGTAGGAATATTATTTCAGTTTTAAGTTCGGATGATGAATATTTTGTTAGCCCTTATGTTTTGTTGATAATTTACAACCACCATTATCAGTACTAATTTCTTGTTGAGTGATATTATAGTTAATATGTATATCAAGTTTGTTAGAACCATATATGGAGGATTGGATGGAATATGAGCTACAACGTCAATATTTATAGGAGGTGGAGGCAATATGATGAAGCAAATGTTAATCAAGAACAACATATACAAGTGAAAGCTTCATCAAATCAAAGCAATATCAAGACTCAAAGAAATATTATTCTATGTGAGGATATTTGCTAGTTTTTCTTTTCTTTCTAGTGCTAGATTGTAGGCAAGTAGTTGTAGATGTCAATTGAAGCTATTTGGGATATCACACACACTTGCACACTTTCAAAACTTGTATTTTGGTACTTTTGTCAAAATAATGTTTTTCATAAATACGAGGATCTTTTTGTAAAATTCCTCTTCAAACAAGTTTGTCAAAATGATTATAAACTATTCCCAAAGTTTCATATTTTTTAGAATTTATTTGATATTTTTAAACATGTTTTTAAGTTTAGTTTTCCTGTGCAAATCTGGTCTGTGCATGTTTAGTCGACTCATAAGTTGACTCATGAAGTACAACGGAGTTGTGATTTTTCTTCTATTGAGTCGACTCATATAAGCCGATTCATTAATCGACTCATAAGTCGACTCATGAGTCGACTCATAAGTCGACATATCAGAGAGCCGTTGCACAGTAACGGCTAGTTTTAGAAAACCGGATTTTGGGGGATTTTGATGATTTCTTTAGGGTTTTGGCTGCTGTTATTTTTCACTATAAATACCCAACTACCCCATTTATTTTTCCTACCAACTTTGCAAGAGAAAAATTAATTGTTTTTAATTCTTGAGTTCAAGAGCCTTAATTTTCAAAATTCAATTCCTTGTTTTATACTTGCACATCCCACATCCAAAGCTTCAAGTGCAATCTCTCTCCTTGCCATAGGGTTATTGTAAGAGAGAGCAATTCTTCATTTGCTACCATTGATTGTGTGGTGATCTCGTGGAGATCAACTGTGTCGTGAGATCTCATGGAGAACAACTGTGTCGTGAGATCTCGTGGAGATCGCTGTGTAGAAGAAGTTCCGGCTTCCAAACCGGGTTGTTTAGTGGATTCTCCTCGAGAGTGGGGAGGGGGGACGTAGGCTAGAGAGCCGAACCTCATGAACATATCGCGCGTCATTTGGATAACGATTTCTATCTTATCTCTTTTTATTATAGCATTATATTTTGTGGTGTTTGCTT